TTTTTAATCAATTTAAATAAATTGAGGTTAGCTTTAGATATTTTTTTAATTACATAAATAGATGTATATATAATAATGTTAAACTAGAATGAAATAATATAACTCTTATATGAGTCTGTAGAAACCAATGTTTAGCCTGACTCGAAAGTTTACTAAGCTCCTCTATTCTATGTAACCAATTCAATATGAATTTAGGTAATTATTTAGGTAGAGTCATATAATTACTATCTATGGAGAAAACCATAAAAAAAAAATAAAATATCTAAAATATAATGTATTAACCACCCTATTAACCATATTAATAAAGAATATTTAACCCAAACCAACAAGGCGGGCTTATAAAAATTTATAGTTATAAATTTTTATTAGCCAGCCGCGCTTATTAATTTAATAAAATTAATTAGGAAAGGATCAATTGAAATAAAATTTATTATATACTCATATAATGCGCGCGGATAAATATTTAATCCTTATATAATAAATATACATAATAAACTTAACCATTTAAATTTATTATTATTATTATTATTATTATTATTATTAGTGTTATTATTAATACTATTTTTATTTACATCTTTACTTAAAGCTACACTACTATAACTTCTTATTTGATAATTATTTTTTATTCTAGTTTTTTGAGGTATACTTCTAGAATAATTTTGTCGTATATTATATTCTGATTTTAGTTCTATTATTGTTAACAACAAGTCATTGTTTTTTATTTTTTCTTTTAATTCTTTTTTTCTAATAATTTTTTCTTCAATCATTCTTATTTTGTCTTTATTTTTATCTATATTTTCTCTATTAGGAGAAATAAATGCATATTTAAGTATTTCACTTTCTTCTTCATATTTAATTTCTTCTTTTTTAATTTCTTCATTTATTGACACTATTTTTTTATTTAAATTTTCAATTTCACCTTCTATATTTTTTAAAACTACTATACCTAGTGTACCATAATACAATGCATCACTTTTTTTCATTAAATCATTAACATATTCTTTGTATTTTATATACTTATTTTTTTCATTAAATCTATTATGTATATTTAGTATTTGACTTGTTTTAAAATTTTCATATATATCTCTACTTTTTGCACCTAAACCTAATAAAAAGAAAGATAAACTATATTGCACTGATGATAATACGTGTCTGTTATTATAATTACCACCACTAATTTTAATATCGAGAATATCAAAAAATAATTTGAAAAAATCCCAAGATATACCATCTATTACAAATAAGCTATCTATTAATATACTATTATAATCTTTTCTAAAAGGTTCTTTACCTATTATTTCATCAAATAAATCTTTTTTTGTTAAAAATAAAATAATATTTATTTTATACATTATTAAATTATCACTAATCTTTATAGTTTTTATATCATCACTAAAACTATCGGCTGTTATATTATCATTTAGATATAAATATATAATATATTTATTTACTTCATTATTTTTTAAAAAATTACTTAATTTAGTATAATCTATCTTATAATATTTATTATCCATATAAAATATACTACTTATTAAATGAATTTTTTTCTCATTCAATTGATTATAATCAAAACTTCTAGCCATAACTGCTAATATTTTAATATTTTCATTATTATTTAAATTATTATTTAAATAAAATTCATTCATTTTTTCCATTTTTAATTTATATTTTTGTTTTATTTTATTTTAAGAAGATTCGGAATTAACCCGCGCGCTTAACAATTTCTTTAATCTAAAAAAACTGGGGGGGGCATTATTATTGTTTTTATTATTGATAATAGTTTATTTCATTTATACTATTTATTAAAAATTGGGGGGCTTTATACTCTTTTCCCCTAGGCGGCCGCGCTTATTAATTTAATAAATTAATTAACCGCGCGGCTCACCTGTCCTTTTGTTTTAGTCCTTTTGTTTTTTAACAAAAAAAAGGAAACAAAAAAAGGAATAAGGGGTAGGGGTCAGAGTCCTTCTCCCTTTTCTTTATCCCGGCTTTGCCGTAAAGGATACGCTCTTATAGGAATCGTGTTATGACCTTGCCTCCCCAACCCCTCTCCCGATCCCGAACCCTGTCCTTTTTATTGTTTTTTTAATTAAAAAAAACACAGAATAAAAAAGTTTACTGACAGAGGGGGAAGAGGAGGACGGCCGATGGCCGGGGAAGAGGGGAGCCTTCTCCTTTTTTATTAAATACAAAAGGAAGGCAGCGAGGGGAGGGCTTTAGTTAAGATGTTCTTATCTTGCCTACTCCTCTGTTATTTATATCCCGTCGGCCACGCTTATTAATTTAATAAAATTAATTAACCGAGTGGATAGGGTAATAATAGTAGGGTTTGGCTTATACCTAGTATATAATATACTATAAAAATATATAATAATAATATAGAAGTATAAAATAATATTAATCTTATGTACATGTGCAGAAATAATTTAGGTCTTTTTAATTCTACGATATTTTTAAATTAAAAATAATATATATATTAAAAAAGAACTAATAAAAATTATTATTTTTAAATATTCTATGCATTCGATACAAAAATTTAAGACTGAACTGGTAGCATTTCAAAAGCATGGAATGGAATAGGACTAGCTAAAGTCCATTCTAGTGTATTAGCTGTTTCAGTTTCATTATTAAATAGTACAGTAGATGTATAATATGCTGGTACAGCCCAAGGATTGTTACTTACAGCTTTACCATTAGCAAATATATCATAAATAATGTAACCAAATAATACAGTTGCAATAACAGAAATTAAAGAACCAAAACTAGATACAGTGTTCCATCCAGCAAAAGCATCAGGGTAATCTGGGATTCTTCGCGGCATCAATTGGTGTTAATCCTTAAAACACATCTTTGTAAGACGCAATTAAGACTCCTTTCCTTACGGAAAATTATACAGCTAAGAAATAATATATTAATAATAATATAATTAAATTAAGTACTATATAATTCCTACTTATTTATTGTGCTTAAATAAGTAAAAGGTTCAGACTATGTCATTCATCCCATATGCCCTAAAGGGCCTTAAATGATTTAGGGATGATTGGGCGCTAACTATATAATTGTTAATAATATAGAGTGCAAGATTATTGTTAATACTACTCACTTGCTAGTCGTTGAACGTTTTTATTCCTACTCCACAAGTATTCAAGACGCACTGGATAAAGATTAGTGGAGGCATTGAAATAAACTTCGCTGCAAATTGTCCTAGTATTATGTATTTGATGCACCCATAGTTCTAGGATATTCTTGCAATTCACCCAATTTACTAATGGTATTTTTAAATTCTACCATAGAGGCATGAAAAATTAATCTAATTGTACGCTTGAAAATATTTTTCCTTTGAAAGAAAGTTTGCTATCTAAATATTTGGTTAAAGTATCTTTACCCATTTTAAAGTGTTTAGTACACTCAACTGTAGAAAATATTCCAATGATTTTTAGAGTTTCAGCTTCATACACATAAACTAATTTTTGTAATTTAGCTATAGTTGCAGGAGATTTTACAATACCAAACATAGGATTGTTTTTTCCTTTTCTATCTCTTGTTTGCATTGCTATGAATTCAGGAGAAAAAGTTTTACCATACATAGGATTCAAGCTACCTTTTCTATTTAATTTAAAAATATTACTATGTTTAAATCCTAAGGTTGTACCTGCTGTTGGAGAAAGGTTTAATTTCCTATCTAAATATTTTGTAAATAAAATATTTAAGTAATATTGTTCTCTTTCTAATATAAACTTTTTTGGTACTTGTTTAAATGAACCTAAATCTTCTAATATAGCTAAACAAAAATTATTATGTCCATATTTTCTTAAGCTGTTATATATTGGTAAATTTCTTAATAAAACACTAGGGCTAAAATAATTTAGCAATCTTGTAGAACCTGTAGAAGCACTACCTATATATATATGACCATTTATTAAATTAGTCCACTGGTAGATAACTACTCTTTTTCTATTATCAGTACCAATCAAATTTCTATTTAAATTAGGATAATAAACTCTAACAGGTTCATTTAAAAAGATTGGCTTTACAAAAGGACCCAAAGGAAAAAGAGAAATAGCAGATAAAAAAATATTTTCATTTGTACAAGATGTTATTTCAAACATACCAGATAAACCTAAGAAGTGTTGCTTTTTTATATTTTAAAAAACATACGCATTGGAAAATTATAATTTATCTTTATAGCTGTATATTTTACCTTGATAAGAGTTTCCACTTTCGATTAAACTTTTTAGTGTATAAAAATTAACTTTAGCGTATTTCAAGGCTCTTGACACACTCTCTAATTTATCTATTAATTCATGTGTATTACTATCAAATACGTAAATTGCTTTTCGATAGGAAACATTCTTAACTATCAGTAAAAAGTCCAGGTATTCACCTTTGGCTATAGCAGCTCTTGCTACTTTTCCATCAATTTGGAAATACTCAGCCATCTCTCTACCTGATTTAAATTCTTTAACTATCTCATTATCTAGATTATAGACTATAATATGCTTTCGTAGCTGATTATCAACTACCGGTTTTTCCGTATATTTTTCAAAAGTATCTGCAGCTATTGGCTCAAAAGATAAGATAAAGTGTGACTTATAAATATAATAGTTATCAATGTGATCTAATAAGGTACTATAACTAATTTGTAAACCTTTTAAAGCTCTATTAATTGAAGAATAAATAACAGGTTCTTTATTTGGGGAATTTAAGTCATATACAAATACTAAAAAACAATAATATCTATTATCAATATCTTCATCTTTAAATTTTAAATTATTAGCTGTTTTAAAAGTTTGTAGGAATACGTATAATCTATTATAACCTTCAGAACCTACAATAAATAAAGATAATAGTTCTTCTATAACAGAAATAGCATGATCTAAATTATTTCCCCATTGTGGATTTACCCGAGGAATTACTTTATAATTACTATTAATTGTTGGTTTAAATACGATTATTGCGTATTGTTCATAAACTAAAGATAACTGAGGAGTAGTAATATATAGAATTTCTAAACTCCAATCTAAAGCTAGAGTTTTAGATATTTCTAACTCCGATGATGAATGAGGATTTCGTAAACCTTTAGTTAATTTATTATATTCCTCCATTCTTCTGGCTAAGTTATTAGAACTTCCAATATAAAATCTACTTAAGTCATTTTTATTAGTTAATTTATAAACACCTGAAACCCCTAAATACTTATATTTAATTTGCTCACATCCTTGCTCGAGTGAATCAAATTTAATAGGTTTATTATTGTCTGCTTCGCGCTCATCTAGATTAGAGAAGTTATCAGAATAAGTAGAATATTGTCGTTTAAATGAACAATTTTTTTTACCTTAGGACTCAAGCTATAGATGCTAGGTAAAGTTGATTTAGATGAACCTAGTCTAGATAAAAAATCAATACTTATTAGTCACTATATAAAAATAGATCATATCATTATCCTTCTCTGCTGGCTGGCGTACTGCCTAGCCGGTCATTGCAAGCCAATACAGATAAAATACTAAATCATTTATGATATGATATTTTACTTGAAGGATACCCGGCATGTGATCGTTGAGGTTGTATAAAATTTTTATACCTTACCTGCTGATTATTCAATATTTACGGTTTTCACTTTATAAGTACGTAAATTTATAAGAAATTCCCAGCATATAGCCGAGTTTAAGGAGAGATTATCTCCTATTTTACCAGATAATTACTTATCTGGCCCCCCAACATGAGGGAAGAATGTTAAATTACAATTATACCAATTATTTATAATTGGTTTGGACTATCTATTAATTTAGATAAACTTAAATAACTTATAATAGTTAACCCTTTATCCTTAAACTGACTATTTTTAAATAGTCTAATAAATGGAAAGGTTTAAAATATCTAATTTTCCTTCGTATAGTCTCTAAGGATCTTACTCTTTTGACCCCTCTTTCCTTTGTTGTCCTTTTTTTTGTTAAAAAAAAGGAATAACAAAAGGAAAGGAGGGGAAATAAGAATATTGAGTTTCCTGCGGATTGTCCATTGTAATATCTAAACTATTATAACCCGAATCGTGTTTGCCTATTGGTAAATTTAGCTTTAGGAGTTTCCAGCATATAGAAGGATGTTTACAAACGATTAAGTTTGGGGGCTAATTAATTCCATCCCGTTGCTGGCGCTGGCGCACGCCTTTCCCTGTGTTTTTTTAAAATAAAATAAAAAAAAACAAAAGGAGAGCCTGTTGTTTTTATTCCTTTTTTTAACAAAAAACAAAAGGACAAAAGGAAGCAGCTGGTCGTGAATGCCTACCCCCTCCCTGTCCGCTGTCCGCGAGGAAAAGGAAGAGGGGCACCTGTCCTTTTTATTGTTTTTTTAATTAAAAAAAACACAGGATAACAAAAGGAAGCGAGGGGAGGGATAGAGGTAGATAACCAGGGAATAGAATAAAGAAAAAGTTCTTCTATACTTAATATTTAACTGTTTACTCTTTGTCCGAGGTAGAGTTTTTAGTTGTTATAAACCATTTAACTCCTTTAATTAAAATAGAATTATTAATATTTTTGGAGATAGTTGTAAATCTAACTCTGAAGTGAAATCTAGCACTATTAATAGATGGAAATGAAATAGTTTCACTAAATTCATTAGTCATAATAATATTAGTACCTCCAATTCCATATTGAGAAGATAATTTACCTTTTTTACCTTTACTGTGATGATCATGATCTTTGTAATATTTTTTTAAAGCTAAACTTGTTAAAAGTTTCTGTTCTTCACTAGCTTTAGACCCAAATCTAGGATGTAATTTTCCAGCTGCACTTTTTTTAAGTTTTGCAATTGTATCCGGAGAGTGTTTAAATCCTTGGGAAGATCCAGCTATTTTTAATATATTATATTTAGGTTTATATAAATCAAGAAAACTTTGTTCTAATCCTAAGCAAATTTCTTCTACGGGATCACAGTATTGTAAAATTAAAAATACAAAATTATTAAGCCCATATTTACTAAAAGCATTGTATAAATGTAAATTAACTGAACCTATACAACTTATATGTACTCTAAATCTTCTATCTAATTTAACACTACTCCCTATATATGTATTACCATTTACTAAATTAAAGAACATATATACACCAGCTTTATTTTTAATATTAAGATGAATCTCTGTTTTAGACTCTTTAATACCTATAAACTTAGCTTCTGCTTGAATATTTTCCAATTTTTCTAATATATGTTTATTATTAGGTTTCTTGGGATCAGGTAATTTATGTGTAGGTAAACTTTTTAATATAAGATCTAAGGTCTCATTACCAATATCATTGGAATCGCTATCTATTAATTCTCTATTAGTAATATCCTCCACCCGCATCCCGCGCCCCTTATTCCTTTTGTCGTCAAGCTTTTGTTTTTGTGTTTTTTTTAATAAAAAAAACAATAAAAAAAGTTTATTGACAGGCCTAGGGGAGGGGAGAGTTAAAGATTTACTTAAAACACGGTTTATAAACAATTTTAAAATTGTAGATAAAATTTTTCCTATTTGTAAAACCCCTACAAACATTATCCAGAAATGTATTTTTCCCAGCATTTCATTATAAGTTAAACCAATGATTTTAGGAGTCCAGAAATAGAAACCAGAAAATAGTGCGAAAACTGCACCCATTGATAAAACATAGTGAAAGTGTGCTACTACGTAATATGTCTGTCGAATTTAAACATTCGAACCTTAGTCACCTAAGGGATCGGACTATATCTTTTTTAATCAGTTAACTTAATAAGTTTTCAAATCTCACGTATAGTCTCTACAGATCCAATATATATAAATAAAACAATATATTGTTTCCACGGTATTGCCTTTATTACAGTAGTAGATGTTTCTGCATAAAAACATAATAAAGGTTTCACCGTTAGCTATTTAATCATAAAACAAAACAAATAACCGATATTTTAGTATCATAGTGAGATGACAACACAACACATTATTAAACAGTTTGTTTGAATTTTAAGAGACTATCTTTTTTAGCACCTAATAATGGATACATTTCACAATGCTGTATAATTTTATTTAAGACATCTTTTTTGTAAACCTCTAAAGAATAAAAATCTTTATTTTTATATGGTTTTCTAATTATATTCGAAATATCAAAATGTTTTTTTATAAAATTTAGTATATATATATCATTATTTTGTGCTATGGAAAAAGAAGAATATTTATTTTGTCGAATAGAAAAACAACCTTCTGCTTCAATAAATCCTGATAGCCAACTATTAAAATATAGAGGTATTGATTTACTTAAATTTTCTTGAACTATGTCATTTTGATTAGAATATTTTAAATTTCTAGAATTTAAATAAGTTTCAACATCATTATGAGAGACACAAGTTTTTAAAAAAATTAAAGAGCAAATAAGCCGACTAGTTAAAGGAGGATACTTATCAAAAGTTTTAATAGCATTTAAAATATCTTTTTTATTATCTAATACCCAAATAACAAATTTACCATTATTAGTAAATCTGACATATCCTTTAAATTGATCTTTTATGAACATTAACATTTGAACATTAGACTCTAAATTTGATAATTTGATAATGAGTCGATATTGTAAATTTTTCTTTCGCCAATGATTGACTTGAATACTTCCATCTCCATCCATAAGACCGACCCAAAATGGTTGTAAATGATCTTGGACACTTAATAATCCGATTGAACAAACTGTTAATGTTTTATCGTGTAATGCAATATCCATTGAGGCATTAGCTAAAACTACTCCAGTTACAAAATATTTTATAAATAGCTAACATTAGACTTAAAATTATTAATCACCCCCCCACCCCCTCTTCCGGTACCCCCCCTCCATGCCTGCCGCTAGGCTGCCGCTAGGCGCGAGCGAGCGATGGCGCGAGCGAGGGGATAGGGGATCCGGATGCGAAGCAGACTAACTAAATAGCTTACTTAATATGAAAAGAGTCAGTAATAAAATAAATAGTAATTGCGTAGTAAGCTATCATAATGAAAGAAGAAATAGATCCTAAAATAAAAAACAATTTAACTAATACCAGATTAGATAATAATATAGAATCAATAATACCTCCATTTAAACCTGTATTTCTATACATGAAATTTAAACAGATAAAACTAATAATAAATAAAATCACTGGTTTTAACCAACTAGGTAATTTTTTATTATTAAAAAAGGTATTAAACTACTACTTAATACTGCATCTTTAATTATTTCCTTGTTTCCTTCAACAGCACCAGCAGGGTTGTTAGGACTCTGCACGACAGAATCAATTTTTACATCGACATTTAATTTTGGAGTGAAAACTAAATTTTTCAGCGTAAATAAACTACCTACAGCCCTCAGCCCTCAGCCCTCAGCCCTCTTTGAGGAGAGGAGAGGAGAGGAGAGGAGAGGAGAGAGGGGCACCTAAAATCATAAAAGTTTTAAGTTCTTTAGCTCTCATTCTTCTATAATCAATTAATTCTTGACCAGAAAGATTTTTAGCGGCAACATGCCGCTCTAAAGGCTACAGAATCAAACAATTTAACAACCCCTCTATACATAAAAACTATTGAAGAATAACCTTGTTTTAATACATTATAAAAAGGTAATAAATGTGTAATATAGTAAGTTTCTCGTACAGATAAATTTTCAATATCTACATATTCTACAATTAAAACAGCAAAATTTTCTTGTCCATATTTTAACAGTGCTTGTATAATAGGCAAATTATTATTTTTTCTGTTTACTCCTTTTTTTATTGTTTTTTTTATTAAAAAAAACACAAAAACAAAAGGAAAAAAAGTAGTATTTAGATAATTCGACTTTCTAACTGCAAGGTTAACAGAACTACCAATATAGATATGACCATTAATCAAATTGACTAAACAATAAACACCTTTTTTATCTTTTTGATATTTTTTAAGCTGTTGTCTATCCTCCTTAAAATTACTATACACTTTAATAGGTTTTATTTGTTCAACAGCTTTAGTTAAAAAAACAAGTTGAACACTGCAATAAAGAATAGTTTATAGTAAGAGAATCTAAAATTTTAAGGATGTATTCACACATAAATACTAAAATAATAAATTTTATTATTATTTTTTTTT